TGATGGGGTATCTGGTGGGATACACCTATAGGACTTTCAATGGTTTTTGTGAGCGCAAGTGGCTTTAGTGGAGTGAGGGAAGTGATCAAGGGTCACAATTTCAGAGTTAGGGACCAATCACCATGGTATGACGTGAACGTCTTGCGGGTGCTTATGTTGATCCCAGAAGTGGCGAACAAGCTCTTCCTCCGCCACCCGTTCATGATCCGGAGAGGTCAGTGAAGAGGCCGCTTGAAGGTGCAGGTGGTGAAGGTGGGGAGGTTCCAGGTGAAGAAGGGATGGAGACATGGAGGTCGAAATTCCTTTGCCAGATGGGAGCTTAGCTCCAGAAGGGGGTGGAGAACCCATGGACCTTGATGTGATCTTGGATCGAGTCATCCAGCATGCCCAGAACGAGGCAATGAATGAGTTCTTGGCAGGTACCTCGAGGTGTGATGAGGTTGGAGGTGACGTCGAGGCAGAAGGTCAAGGTTCTTCCATCTCTGTCCAGTTTGGGGGAAACCAAATCGATGTACAGATCGCTGAGGGAGTGTGTGATGAGTTGACAGGGCACCCCATAGCGCATGACCAGGTAGTCGAAGGCATTCGCACAGAAATGGTGCAACTGGAGACTTTGGAAGTTGGTGACACCTATCCTGAGAAGAAGGGTCGCACCATCGCAGTTGAACATGAAGTTCAAATCCTCACGGCGAGGTGGGTATTTACCCAAAAGACTGCAATCCTTTGTCGTGCCCGGTTGGTCGTTCGCGATTATGCCTCTGGTGCTGAAAGCGCTTTTCGATCTGGCATCTATGCCCCTACAAGTAGCTTAGACTCACTGCGAGTGGTCCTTGCCTTCTCAGTGGTTGAAAGCATGAGCCTTCTTACAGCTGACGTGTCGACAGCCTTCATGTATGCGCCTGTTGAAGCTGATGCTTGTGATTTGGTTTTGCTTCCTGCGAACATCACTGTGAAGGGCCAACGAGTCATCTTGTGGCTGAAAAAGGCCATGAACGGCTTGAGACGTGCTCCATTGTTGTGGTTCTTAGAGCTTCAGAGGACGATCCGTGACTTGGGCGGAGACGAGACCTTTGAATCAACGTTGTTCCGAGTGAGGTCCGACGCCCAGTTCCTGTTGGTCCTGGTTTACGTTGACGACCTGCTCATTGCAAGCAATGACGTTGGGGGAGGTGAGAACTTCTTGCGTGCTCTTCAGAAGATCTGGAAGATCAAACGCACGGGAAGTATTCCGTCTGGGAAGAAAGGACTTCTGGAATTCTTAGGCCGCACGATCTACAGGCTCCACGATGCCGAGGAGTGTCTGTATTTTGGAGTGTCTCGAAGCTACATGGAGGGAATGTTCGTGTCTTGGGAAGAGAAGCTCAAAGAATCCACCGGTTCTGCTATGCCCAAACTGGAGGAGCTGCTTAAAGATGCAGAGAAAAAGTTCGGGACTCCCGAGCTGTCCGCCACGGAAGCCCAGCACTACCGTCGGGTCTTGGGACAACTCGCATAGGCAGCACTCTCCAGGCAGACCTTGCTTTTCCTGTTGGGTTGAGTAGGTTTCAGTCGAAGCCCCATGTCCGCGCGGAGATTTGTCTTCGTAGCTTTCTTCGTTGGTTGAAGGGTCATTTGCATTTTGTGCAGCAGATGCCCGCCAGTTCACCACCCGCGTTGACTGAAGAAGGGGTCGTTGTAGGTTTTTGTGATTTCTTGGCGTGGATGCTGTTTGAAGTGTTTTAGTAGGAGACAGGAGGTTCCCGCGTTGTCGTCTGCAGAAGCAGAAGCGATCGCCGTCACGGAGGCTAGCAAAGAACTTGTAGCTCTGGGGATGTTGATCGAGACAGCTCGTGATGGGATCCCTCTTGACGAGATAGGCATGCCAGCCAAGACCACAGGAAGCGTGAAGTTGCATTTGTACAACGACGGGAAAGCGGCTATCTCGATTTCTACCATGGAGGGATTGCTCCGACGGTTCAAGCGCATGGAACTGCGAGCACATTATGTGAAGTACCTCCATCGACGACGTCGCTTGACCTTGGAACACTGGGAAGGTGTTTCCAACCCGTCCGACGGTCTCACGAAAAGTTGCAAGCTCATCGAGATGTGGCTGAACCTTTGCAATGCTGTAGGACTTGTACCTGGTTTGGATGAAGATAAGGCAGCATTGTTGAGGGGTTTGTCTCGAGACGACGATGACGACGAACTTCCGACCAGTGAAAGTTCAGTTCGAGAAGGGGAGTATGCTCATCGTGCGTGTTTCTTGCATTTTCGTCCGTTGGTGCTCGGAAAGGTGACGGAAGATTTGGGCATTGTGCCTGTTGAAGTTTGAACTTTGTCGATTGTGCTTTTTCCGGAACAGTTTTCCAAAGTCAAAATTTGTTTGGAAAGTTTCTGAGTCTGTTTTGTGTGTTTTCGTTGTTGTCCGTCTGTGTTCGGATCTGTCCGGATGAGTTCGGAAGAGCTTCGGTTGGTTTGTGAGTGCAGCATGTGGATTTGGAACCTTTCGTTGTGTCGACAGAACTTTAGTGGAAGGACGTGTCCGGGAGCAGTCGTTGAGGTCCGACTAGGTTCGGAGGTGTAGGACGACTGTTTCTTGTTGATTTAGGAGCCTTCTGTTCTGTGGTGCAGTGTTTTGAGTTTTGCTGAATTTGCTTTTTTGCATGTAGTATGGAATCTGGATGGGCATTCATTGAGGAATCCTGTTTGCTTCACCGAATGTCCGGATAGTTCCCTCTTTCCTAAGGAAATTGAGACGTTTGAACTGTAGAGACCTTTTGCTGTGACACTTTTCCTTGTTTGGACTGTTCTCGGTGTCTTGAAACAGTGGAACTGAGTGATGACCGCCCGCGGCCATTTTTGTTTCAGAAGGCAACAGAAGGAAGTCCACTGGTGGCCGCGCACCAGGCGAAGGGTTTTCGTTTGTGGTTTGAGACCTTGAAACCGTTGATGTATGCTGCAATAAGGAGTCGAGGAGTAGCTAAATCAGGGGTTTTGAGTGTCAGACATGTCCATTTGTTTGTGGTTGATGCCAGGGATTGCAGGGTTGAGACGCCAGAGAATGACAGTTTGAGACTTCAGTTGTTGCAGAGTTTTGGAAACAGTTGTGCAAAAGGGTTTTGAACATTCTTCTTCTTTTCAGGGTTGTAGCGGTTTCGAGGGTTCTAGAACATTTGTTCTTCTTGGTTTTGTGTTGAGCTGTTTTGCTTTCTTGTGCTGTGTGCTGTGTGGCAGAGCAAGGGTATGCTTGGCTCCTGTGAGGGTTGCTGTGTGACTGTCGCGTTTTGATCTCATCTTTCGCTTTCGAAGCCATCATGACCTCTATGGAGCGCCCAGAGACCAATGCCGTGATCGTGGATGAGCCAGCTGCTGCTGGGACCGCTTTGCCGGCTGGGGGGATGGATGTTGTTCCAACTCCCAAGGCGGCTGGTCCTGCTTGACCTTTTGACCGTCCCGTTGGACGAACTTATGGCTTTGTGTATGGCTTCGGTCGAGGCTTCTGACCAGTTGCTCTCGGAAACTCCGTTTGAGATCGCAAAGGCCGAAGCTGAGAAATGGCACCGTAGTGCTGGACAAGCCTTGGATGCGATGTATGGTGTGCAGAGTGATCTTGACAAGATTCAACGGATCCATGCAGAGGAGCCGACTCGCAACCTCGCCGAGATTCCGCTGCCGGAAGGGAATGGCACCAATTCAGGGGTTACGTAGAGCTTGAGATCCGCCGACAGGCGCATCAGCTGCGACAGCAGCACCTACGGGCTGGAGCGACGTTTTGGTCGCACATTTATTTTCGAATTATGTCAGCTCCAAGTACTTGGCTCCTTTGGAGTCTTTGCCTGCCAGCTCCCGAGCGACAGCTTTGCAGTCTGTCGACCATCTCCAAGACATGCTGAGATGGACCCTGGGTCGGTTCGCCCGACTTCAGGACGTGTGCGGCGAAGTCGCGAACTTCATGAGTCAGGTCGCGGAATCGGACGAGCGTACCAAGACCAAGCTCGCCGAGGTGACCGACAAGGTCGTGGATTTGTCGAACGGGCTGGTTGGTTTAGCCAGTTCGGTACGTCGCACGCAAGACGAACAACTCAAGACTGCTCGGCAGACTTCGAAGAGCTTGGGAGATGTCAGTTGGCAACTCAGTGGAGTTGGCAAAGGAGTCAACACTTCGGTGAAGGAATCCTTGCTATCCATCGGTAAGATGATCACCCAGCTCGATTCCAATGTTGGAAAGCAGCGCAAAGCACAAGATGAGACCAACTCCCTTTTGAAAGGTCTCAATACCCTCATGAAGGCCCTCGTCGATGTCGAGCAGCGCAAAACGTCGCTTGTGGCACAGGCCGCGTAAGCAGCTTCATCGGCTACGGCCAGTACGGGTCCGGCGGGTGTACCACCTGGATCGGCGCCGGCTATGGCACTTGGAGGGGGACCTGCTGCTACGGCACCTCCTCCGGCCACTCTTGGAACGGGAGTGGCCCAGGCCCCTCAGACGCCTGTGGTAGCTCCGAAACTCATGCCGACGAGTTTGACACCTCCGCAGACGGCCCCAGCCGGATTTCCGCCAGTGCCGCATTTTCCACCTCCGGGATTTTCGACGACTGGATACCCAGTACCAACATCTCCTTGCAGCAGCGGGTGCGCGAGCGGGTCCGTAGGACCACCGCAACCCACCTACAAGCGCGTGCGCGCCAGTGAAGGGAACTGGGTATGGTTGGAACAGGATCCAAATGACCTGTAGGAGAGCGCTTCTCCTTGCATTCCGGGGGCGTAAGGCCCTAGGTACTGCGATAGCACTGAGGCTCGATGCCTGGTGAGGAAGAAGAAGAGTGTGCTTGGGGTTGAACTTTGTTTGAACTTCATTCGATCTTCATTTGAACTTCCTGTTGTCTTGTTCAAGTTTTCTTGTTGAGTCAAGGGCTTGCACGTTTGAGATCTTGAGAAGTTGAAGTTTGCGCATTGCTGTGTTTGAACTTGACAGGACGAAAAGGGATGAGGCCAGGGGTTCAGAGGAAGTGAGATCAGGAAGAGATCAAGGGTTGAGAACTGTGAGAATCAGGGATGTCTTTTGCATTTGCCATGGACCATGACAAACAGTAAAGAGGGTTTGTAGCTAGCCGGGGCTACTAGCTTCCTTTGATTGCTGTGGACTTTGGACCGGATGACATTTGATGTCGAGTCGATTGGTTGCAGTTGAGGGCAAGTGAAAGGGTTTTGGAACTCAAGATGTGCTTCAGAAGCTGTCAGGGAAACAGTAACCCAGGGTTTGTATCTAAGGGGTTGAAGCTAGACTTCATTTTCACTTGATGTTTGAAGCTTGTGCACTTTTGGTACTTTGAACACGACAGGTTTTGTCTGCAGGAATCTTTTGTTTGCTTGACCTGTCAGGTACCCGCTTGAAACCGTTTGTGGTTTCAGGGTCCCAAGGATGACAGAAGCAGAGGCGAAGAGATGGCCCTGCTGTCTGAGGGACCTTGAACCCTTGTTGTTTTCTCGCTTGGTCGAAGCGTGGTTGATTGGTTGAGCTTGATTCGATCTTGCTTGAAGCTCGTTGTTCTCGGTTTGTTGATGTTTGATCGACCTGGAGACCAGTTTGAACCACAGGAGTTGAGATCTTAGTTGACGCTCGAACCCTAGTTGCTCAGAGAAAACGAATTGAAGAGAAGAAGAAGACAAGAAGACCAGGAGAAGGTACGAGGTGACCCAAGAAGGGGTGTGAAAAGTGTGGGTAGCACGCCTGTACAGTGTGTGGATCACCTAGTACCTCTGTGTAGTGGAACTTTTTCGTTTTTCTGTCCTTGGGGTTGGAGCTGAGTAGGGATCTTCCTCCTTCAAGTGTGTTCACTTTCACCACCTTAGCAGGACTAACTGGAATGTGACCAGAAGTGGCTAGGAGCACGTCTAGAGAAGCCCTCAGTATAGAGCTGTAGTGCTTTGGATGAGCCGTGTATAGCCTAGCTTTGCTTGAGAGTGTTTGGAGATGCTTTCTTGTAGCATGTTTTGGGCGACTGTGACCAGTCAGACCTCTTCAGAGAAGAGTGGACGAACAGACATACAGTCAAACCGACTGTTATGTTTGGCTCAAGAGCGGGATTCGAAAAGGGTTCGCCAACGCTTCCTTGTTTTCACACCTTGGAGCTTGGGTGGTGGTGCCGCTGAGGGGTGCAGGGTGCCGCGGCATTGTGCTGCCCACAAACTCATCTTTCTATCTGGGGTCTATGCTGGCGTAATTTCAGGTCTGAAATGGTTGAGACTTGTAAGTTCAACCCTTGGAGTTGTGTAGTTCTAAGATGTTCAACGCAAGTTCGCCTCTACATGTTTCATTGAGTTTAGCGATAATGAAATTAGTAAATCCAAGTATGGTAGCGCATAAACACTTATGACTTCAACTACTAGTTCGTCAACCACCACAATCACTTACAAGCAGCGCCGCGCATCCAAGTGGGGCGTGGTGGTGCGGGTGGTGGTGGCGCTGGATCGGCGGTTTCTTGGGCGTGGTGGTGCAGGTGCTGGGGGTGGTGCGGGTGCTGGTGCTGGCGCTGGATTGGCCTTTTCCTGGGGCGTGCTGATGCAGGTGCTGGTGCTGGCGCAGGGTGCTGCTGCTGCTGGTGGTGGTGGCTGCTGCTGCTGCTGCTGCTGGATAGGCGTTTTGTCCGACAATGCCGGTGCAAGTGCTGGTGCAGGTGCCGGTGCTGGATCGGGCTTTCCACTGATCGGCTGCGTTTGGGGACTTGGCATCGTTTCCCGTCGCGGGTGAAACTCATGCCAGGGACGACATCATGTCATGCCAGGGATGAAATCATGTCATGCCAGGGCTCATATTGTGTTTGACAAATTGACACATGTATTGCTTTGTAGTATGCATCGTTTCCCTTCGTGGATGACATGGTGTGATGCCATGCCACGGGCGACATCATCTCATGCCAGAGTGCCAGGCACTGCAACTGCGAACACTTGAGAGGTGAACATTGCCCTTTGCACTTGCAACCAAAAATATTGGACTGTGGCACCTGTCCATGAGGCATTGTGAGTCTTTTTCCCTGAGCGCCTGAGCGCTATCTGGGGTCTATGCCGGTGTAATTTGGTTTGCTCTTGCAAGACAGGCTGGATGAGAAGAAACTGTGTGTCAACGTGTTTGTTTGGGTGGTGGAACTACACAACGTACAACCGCTGAACACGGCGTGGAGTTTGGTTGGCAATGAAGGGTCCATGCTCAGGCCCAAAGCGCCCACGTCTGCCTCAGCAAACCCGCTGCAGCTACACTTGTGCTACACTTGCACCCCGACGCCTGTGGCCTTCTTCCACCCTCATGTGGAGGACCTACACGGGGTGGTTTGTACCACCACTTTCCACTGGATCCCACAATAATTTGCATATGGATCTCCATTGGACACCCCGCACGGAAGGCCAGGTAGGCATAGCAAACACGGTCTCCACCACGACCAGCCAATGGGTGTGCTACCCAGCACACTACGTGGAGATCTCCAGACAGGACAGCCAAACAGGATGGTCCAGGCAGATATCTCCCAAGATCCGGCAAGTTGAAGACGCTTCCTTTTTATGTTGTCGTTGGCATGCAAAGGTTTGGCGGAACTGACAAACAATTTGTGCCAAACATGCTTGCAGGTATATAGTATTTGCCGGGTGTTGATGTGCAGGCCAACAGACACATTGCATTTTCGCTGGTGGGCCCTGAGGTTGCCAGCCAAGATCAGCTGATACAGAGTGGTTGTGGTGCACCCACTGGAATAAGTTAAATTTTTGCCAGCTTTGTTTAAAGAGATATAATGATCAGAATGAATATTATCCTGCCGCCGATGGGTTTGGCTTCAGTCACTGGCGTTAGTGCGACGTCTGTGGCTTTGCCCATTTTGCCCGGCAAATGGCGAGACCGAAGGTGTCTGTGAAGAACACCTTCATCGAATGTGATTGTGATGATGGTTGCCAACCTGCGATATGATGAGACTTGCAGATTTGCCGTAGGCAAAAATCAGATTTGGTTTTCAACACCAAGGCTTGTTTTGTTATCAGTTCTCAAAGCTGCTTGAAATGTTGAATGCATCAGTTTGACATTATTTACACATTGAATCTTGAACACCTAAGGTTTTGCAGAGAAGAGCGGTGCTTTGAGTCGCTCCAAATCCGTGGGACGTTTGGTCACAGATGAGAACCAGGTTCGTGTCCCAGGTAAATGCACACAGTAATTACAAATGATTTGGAATTATGTCTGCTGTTGCAAGTGATGCGGGGGCATGTAAACCTGGTTATCGAGGCTGGACCCCAGATGGCTACGTTGGCAAAGATTTGGAACAATGATGAGGAGCAACTTTTTAATGCAACAAGTGCAAGGTATGTGAAGTTTGGAACCAAACACATAGTTTTTTGACAAGCATTTCCGGAGTTAAGAAACGAGTGGGAGAGAGCAACAACAAAAACATATTGAGTCCTGTTTTTTGGATATATGGTACAATTCGAAACCAGAGACAATCTGCAGGAAGCTGTCCGCGCTGCCAGATCTCCTATACTCTCGGTGCCCCCGGCCGCAGCACAATCCTTAGCCTCGCCAGGGTGGATCGAACTTGGAAGCTACTACATGTCATCGACAGGACCAATGTTGGCATCAAAGGACTGTGCAACTCCCCAGAAGTTGAAGCAGCTCCAAGAGAGTCTTCAGGAAAGGTTGCAATGTCGGAAGTGGTCCGAAGAATCGGATCAAACTGGCAGCACTTGGAGTACATGGAGTGCGGATGAGATGGGCAAGATCCGACCAAGCATGTCAAACTCTTCCGTGAGCTCTATGACTGAGTCTATGACTTCGTTTGAGGCAAATCGTTCCAGGGCATACTCAAACGGATCCAGTTGCGAATCGAAGGACGAAGCTGTGGAGTTTGAGATCAAGATCGAGGAGGAACCAGAAGCAAACCATTCAAAAGGCAAGTATACGAGCCGAGTTGACCAGATGCGGTGGAAACCCAAGCACAATGGTGATTTCATGAATGGCAAGCCGAGTCATAAAAGGTGGGACTACGACTATGGCCTCTCACATTTGGGGCATGATACTTGCGAGAACATGACCATGTCTCCTTTCACAACCCCAACCCAGTCTCCAAAGCCATTTGGAAAGGAGATGATGCATGGCCAGCAGCTTAGGTCTGAAAGGTTTGTATACTGTATAAGCGCGGCTACCTTGTATTGTTTTGTCGTTTATCAAGCGCAGTTGCTGGCTTGAAAGAGCCAACAACAAAGCCCTCAGGTCAGTACGAGAGCTCTTTCTACAGGGACAAGATGCGGAACTTGCCACGAGAGAGCCGGCACAATCGGGTTCCGAGGAATGTAAACCTCCAGCAAGAGTACGAGAACAAAGAGAAGGAAGTCACCACCTTGATGACTTGGGCTTAGACTTGGTTAGAAACAAGTCTTGTTAGATCTATGCAGCATAAAACGACGGACTCGTTTGACAGGTTGATTTGACTTGGAGCCAAAGTGGTTACAATTTGACAACATGTCCCAAGGATCCGAAACATTCCAAATCGCTATACACAACGAGAGCTGATCGCAGAACTGGAAGATTTGGGCTTTGCTGGGACGTTTGATTTTCTCTACAGCCCTTTGGACAAGGGCACCATGTCCAATGTCGGGTATGCCTTTGTGAACTTCAAGAGCCACGAGTATGCCAGCAAGTGCATCGAAGCCTTTCACAACTACCGCTTCAAGCGTCCATTGGATTCAAAGTCTATAGTCTATAGCCGTTTTTGCATTTCAAGGCTTGTTCAGTTCGATGCCGATGCCTCACGCATCATGAACTTTGAGACTCTGCCTCAAAGCCTCAGGTCATCGCAAGACCTCCGGCAAAGTGGCAGCCGTCTCAGCTGCTCACCTTCAGGGGTTGAAGGCGACTTTGTAAACTGCATGGAAGTCTTTGCATTTCAAGCAGTTCTCTCTTTGCAAATGTTCACGTCTCAGTGCAGGATCCTGAATCCTGATTTCTGGTAGTTGTGCAAGTATATTCTGCAAATAGTACATACAGTACATATATGTATATATGTGTACTAGAAGCACGGCCAGTCATGACCTCTATTTGCTCCACCAAGCTGAGACCGTTCCAATAGCAGCATTTGTTTTCGCTTTCTCCGATTGTTTTCAGCAGCGCTGCTACCCCAGGATTCCGAAACACATTCCCCGAATCTCACGGTGACAATTCATGTGCTGAGTTGTGGCAGGCCAATCTTGCCCACTACGAGAAGACGGCCGTGAACACTGCCAAGATGAAGCAGCGCAGGCCAGTCATTCTGGCAGACATCTCTTCATTGACCGCGTGATGGACAGAGGCGGGCGCTGGTTTAAAGAACATCTAAAGATGCAGCTCTTTAGAGCGCTGTGACGGATTTGCTGTTGTTAGCTTGAGTCATCCTTCCTGCAGCTGTTGGTGTAGTCACTAGAGCAACCCCAGAAACCGCCTTTTCATCTACTCTATAACCACCTTTTCATTTACTCTATATATAATATGTTTATAATATAGTGCTGTAGCACTGTGATGATAGGTTGCATAAGCATTTGCAGGAAAATTGCTCACAGTAGATGCATTGTGCTACCTCTGTGACACTTGTGCCAGAACAATCATACCAGGGGCTGAGAGTTGACCCGAATAGTTCTCAAGGCATGATCGAGAGGTGGCCTGGGCATTGTTTTTTTTGCCCGCTCTACTGCGTCCCCTAGCTGGTCTTTCATGTACATGTCAAATCATGTTGATATGTTCTGTGCACCACAGATCTTTGGAGTGCTCTCGGATTGTTCTCGAACAGTAGAATCGTTGTCCAACCGTCTATCCTCCATTGGTCCATTGACCCTTCATTGTGAGCTGGGGCAAATCAGGGGGGAAGCAGCTTCATTGACCAACCTTGACACTCCAACTCCTGCAGGCTACGTGAAAAAAAAAATCAAATTCCAAGAAGGGGGTTGGGCTCCCTCACACAAAGCCGATTGTGTCGCCCCAGCGGAATGATGGGATTGGTATCTCCATACAGTACTTCCGCAGCAAGCTTGCTTAAGCTGAACATTGTATGACGCACGTTCCGAGTCAAATGGCACACGACTGATTAAACTGCACATGACTTAAGACTCAAGGTATTCTCCACGGGGTTGATGGAAGCGATCCTTTAGCCAAAGCTATCCCCGCAGCAACATAATACAAGCAGCTCAGCAGGCAGGCTATACCAACGGGACAACCTGCATCCATTGCACTTCACAACTGGCAGCATAATCTAGATGAAGATTGAACAAGTTGTGAAAAGGACGCGGGCCTTTTTGTATGGCCAGCAGGAAGGATGTAGCAGCTGTAGCATGTGAAAGCTGCACAACTCCTCGCTCAACTGCAACTTGTGATTCTTGCACCTGTCCTGTTCACTGTTGCTGGTAGAAAAAACTTCAAAAACATCGTTAGTACATGCCAAAGCACACGAAGTATCCCCATCACTAGGTTGAGCTGCAGAGCTACTGTAGAAGCATCACTGGCCTGGACTGAAGAGACTGAAGAAGAACGTGCACGAAGTCTTCCTCCTGTCCGCTTGTAAGAAGTGCCCCTTGCAAGATCTCGATGGTAGTCATGACCGTGATGCACGTAGGTGAGGTGTGCAGGACAAAGGGTCACTTTCGTTTCAATCCGCTACAGCCACGTGTTGGCAAAGCTACAAAGCTGTCAGTCAGCCCGATTACAATGGATCGTCCTTGCAGGTTGACTAAGGGAAAACAACAAACATTGGAGTCCTCTTTCTGAATGTAGTCGTGTAATGGTGAAGTTGTGCACTGGTCAAGGGAGTGCCATGGCCGCATAGACTCATCGACATTCTGCACATGTGATTTGGACCCTGTCACTCACTAGCTTGGCTCACTCTTTCCTTCATTATATACATTCCTTTTTCCTTCATTCATTTTCATTCCTTATTCTTTTGTTGATTGATCCACAAAAGAGAATAATCATGCCGTATGGAGATCACGGTCAGTCGCGTGAGCCGAAACAGTCCGGCACTCAAGCACTGAAGAGGTGATTAAGACATCTGATCTTCAATTCCCCCGGGGGGAACTTTGGAACGTTTCTTTCCAACCTGCGGGTGGTATCCAGGAAGGCCCTCAAACAGGTTCGAACATTCAATCATTGAGTGAATCTGTAACTTACTTTAAGTCGCTCAATGATTCAATCACTCAGTCTGTCATTCATGCATTCCAGCACCCGTCCTTTCGCCCGTCCGTCCTTTTGTCCATCCCTTCGCTCACTCCCTTACCTCCTGTAACTTAGTCTGAATCACTTGACTCAACGAGTACTGCTTGTTCGTTCATACCGGTCACCTTTAAGTACTAGACTAGATGATAAGTCTTTTGGCGGCTTGCAGGTGAGTTCAGCCAGTGGGCAAGAGCAGAATATACAGGTGGGTATTTTGTAGTGAGTAGTAGCTTGCAATGTTGTGAACCTTGTATTCATTGGCCATGCAGGTTGATTGGCGGAAGTGAGTCTTGCTGTGGGACGTGTTTCAGGTTGCATCTGAGCCCCTTAAATAGCTTTGTGAGGTGAAGTAGACATATCTCATGAGGTTGAGAACTTGTCCAAAAGGTTATCGTGGTCCCTGGAGTTCTTTGACGTTCCAAGCACATCCCAGCCTGGACACCAGTTAGGAGTGTGGAGCGTTCAAAGGGTGGAGCCCGCTGCTGGAGGTGCCCACAGTGAAAATGCCTCAATGACAAAACAGCCTGCAATTTGGGGACTCTTCGAACATGAGCTGACGCACTACCTTTTCTTGTGCTCAGTTTTGAGATTTGAGGAGGGAGTTTGTTGAAATGCCAACGTGTGCACCTTCAGCAGTTATCTTCCATCTCTGACCATGTTGCCAAGCCTCCAAGCTTCCGGGAGAGCTGGGTACCATGTGCCATGAGGTAAGCGACGTCTCAATGCTTCAATCGGTCTAGCGTCAGGCTTTAGAATATTGGTTCTATCATGTTCTATAACTATCATGAACTCGAGGAAAAGGCAAGGCTGCAGCTGAGGACGATTGCAAAGTATGAGACGGAGACCTAAAATGTCAAGATACTGGCGGCTTTGCTCGAGATGCTTACACCATCCTGGCAAAGTTTCGGCTTGTTGAGTGTGGATGTATAAGTCCTGCGGCTTAAGAGCGGGTTTCGCTGCAGGCAAATGCCAGATTACGCCCAGTTTTGCAGATGCTGTCCAATCTGGTGTTCTAAGAAAGGCGACAAACTGACAAATGACTTGAGTTCGGGTTATAGCATCAAAGCATGTCTTGTTTTCTGTTGGACAGCAGCTTTGGACGTAACCATGAGTATAGCCCGTTTTTATATTCGCTCGAGGAGGGCAAAGATCGACCCCACTTGTGAAAGTGAAAGAGCTTGCCATGTAAGTCATCTAAGTCTATCGCCATGTGACAAGACCAAGTCCATTGATGTCATCAAATCTGGGTTCAGGAGAGCCCTGTCGCGGTGACTGGAATGACTGGACTGTGAATATTTGACATGGTTGGAAGTTAGCACATGCGTGGCACTCACTTTCAGAATACTTTGGAATCCGTTGAACCGTCTGGGTGGAGCCAAATCGCTGCACCTGAGGCAAACGGTTGGACCTGACATGGCTTCCGAATGAAGCACTAAGCCACTAAGCACTGTGAAAATGAAGTATTCATGTTGCCACTGCACGGCATCACTGTTGAATATGTATGTACAAATATATATATATACACCTGCGAACGTGCAATGCTACGGCTGACACCTTGGCAATTGAGACGGGTTTAGCTTGGAAGCAATTGGGTTCAACCATAGGGGTCTTGGCAATCTGATCAGACCCAAACATACGACCTACGTGCTCCGCTAGAATACCTGCACGCCTGTGAAGATTCTGTAGTCAATGGGATCTTAGTTTATTGTTTAGATACTTATACTTGTACTTGGGTGCTTTCCATTTGCACTTGTATGCTTTGTATGCGGAATAAGGCTGTGCAATTCTTCCAGGTTTTAGATTGCAACCTGCCAGGACTGAGCAACAGGCTCAGCTCCAAGATGGCATCAAAAGAGAGGCTTCAGACTGAACTAGTCGTAGGCACTTCTTTTTCTTGTGTCAGACAGAATATCAAACCTAGCACTCATTTTGTAGGTCAAGTTCTGACAGCGTTTCTGCGACCAAACCTGGCACTTGCCCGGCTGTCTGAGCCTTTCTGAACGAATTCAGGAAGATGTCCGTATCTGCAGAAAGTGCCAGGCATCGCTTTGTCGTTGTAGCTTACATCTCCAGCCGTAGATGGCGTGAAACAAATATGCTGCAATATGGTCAATGTGAAAATAGATGGTTAGAAAGCAGACTTTAATGCAGAGAGAAAGCAATCTTGGCTTATTATTATGCTGTTGCCGGCTGGAAAGTCTCGGAGAACGACTCGCATTTGAACTCCGAACATGCAGTGGACATTCGTGCCTTGAGCAACTCATTCGTGGCAACTCGGACTGCCTGATTTGCTCTGGAGCTGGGGAGCTTCAGCCAACACTTCGGCCTGATTGTAATTATTCCCGAAAGCATTGCGAAGGGTTCTTCCGGAAAATCCTTTGAACACTGACACTTCGACACGTACACTTAGACACACCTAGACATTGACACTTTCACCACACACCTAGCTAGACATTGACACTTTCACCACACTGGCAGGATAAATAACATGAACGCTATACGTAGCCCTGTGTAAGTGGAAGAGCGAAAGCTGTCAAAGTATGCAAGTGGAAGTATGCAAGTGTAAGTATGCAAGTGATGAGTATGCATGCAATGATGAGTATGCATGCAATGAGTATTGCAAGCATGCAATGAGTAGGCAAGTGAACTAGCACGGGAGATGTCCTAATGAAAAAACATTTCCCCACTTCATAAATTCTCTCTTAAAGGCGGAGGGTGGGACGAACAGCGTCAACCGAAAGTGCAACCCTCTGCGGAGATCGTGCGTGTCGAGTGCGCGAAATGCAGGC